ATAACACCGTCTGATACCGCTTCATTCGTCCAGAGGTTAAGCGTTTCTGTGGTTCGATTCTTGTGAGTAGCGGGAGTCATGTATTCGTATTGCTGGTGAGTTTCATACTAGGACGAGACGATTGTTCAGCGCTTCGAGGTTTCTAATAGTGGCCTATAGATGATCAGTTCACAGGTTCAGTGTAAAACAATGATCTAAATGACTCTGTAATGGAAAGTTATCCAACTTTGTCATTGACAACTTCGCAAAGACGATACTTTCATCTTCTGACTTTTCGGTTAACTTTAATCCAGAAGATTCGCTTAGAGTGGCTTGCGTTGGCATCTGGACTAGTGAAAGAAAGTGAGGTAGTTGAGGATGTTACCCATTTTACTTATTTTGTGAGTCTCTCCAGCTCCGACGGCCTGGTGTAAGACAAAACCCCAGGGCCAATACAGAAGGCTCGAGTGGCTTTCAACGACTTCCATCACTTATGGCGTAGGCAAGAGATTCATCATCACCAAAGGACGAGTCTACTGTGCAGCAGCTTGCTCCATCCTCTGTGAAACATGGCTACTAAGAGTAGGGAATATTCGTAGGTTACTAGTATTCGATCACCCGGGTTTTTGAAGCATTGCTAGTCAGTCCTGGGACCACCGATTAAGCAATGCTGGGTTTAGGAAAAGGCCACTAGGTTAGAATAGCAGATCAGTTGATAAAGTGGTGAAATTCATTAGTTGAGGTGGTTGGGACATCTGTTACGCATGTTTAACCACCTCAACGAGAGATGTCATCCAATGTAGGATTTGGCTAAAAGAAAGCGAGTGACGGTCAGACTAAAGCGTAGCTCAAATACGTGAGTTAATTGATAACGGAACTGAGCCATATTAGTAGGTCTGGACTACCTGTTTTGGGTCCGCGAGACAATAGCATCCGATAGTTGGGGCCTTTGAGTGACATGGCTCAAAATCTTTTCAGTGGTACAGATGCGTCCATTGCTTGTCTTCTTTCAAATTATAAAGTCCTTAATTCCTCATGATCATTTTTTTCTGTTTAAATTTATTTCGCTTGACTACACTTGTCGAATCATAAATTCAGCTCGTGACTTTTACCATTAACGCTAATACTGCTACCACCTCTACTATTATGGGATTTTAATGGACAATTCGATCTCTCTGTGCTTGTGTTGTATGGTCGCTTGAACGAATGTGCGTGTGTACCAATTTCTACCTTTTAGCTGACTGACTGAGACACATGTGTTTGACCAGGTGTCACTGCATGGAACGAAATCAGTCACATATGCACCAATCAGAGTTCACAAGGACTATGAAAGAAATAAGATTAAAGCAAAGACATGACAAAGACAGATTACCACCCGGTAGCAACCAAAATGAAACCGAAATTAGGGAGCCACTGAAAAACTGGATGGAGTTTAATACGTGCAAACTCAATGAATTCAAGACAGCTCTCAGCAATAAGTTCCAGGCCTTTCGCAATCAGATCAAAGATGAAACTACTAAAGAAGACAACTGGAAAAGGATCTAAGACGTAATAGCCTCAGCATATCATAGGGCTTTGATTCACAAGAAGCTCCACTGTATGGAGTCGATCTCTGTTGATACTATGGATTAGATTCAAGAAAGACTGAATTCAGTTCCAGCCAAACAACATCAGAGAAAGCCAAGGTACAGGTCGAATACACAGAAACAAACAGGCAAGAAAAGAGGAGTAATAAAGCTGACAAATGTAAATATGTGGAAGATCTAGCAATTATAGCAGTAAAAATCTCTTACTGATCTAGAATATGCCGATGACATAGTTCTATTCGGTGAAGACGCTGACAAAATGCAGAGTCTTCTGACTACCCTAAGCAACAGTGCGAGCATGTTCGGGATGCGGTTTTCCCCCTCGAAATGCAAAATGTTGCTTGAAGATTGGGTTGCATCGGCACCTGAACTAGTGATAGGGAGTGAAGTAGTCGAACGTGTAGACCGCTTCACTTATCTTGGGAGTCTCATCAGTGCTGATGGCCTGGTGACTGACGAAATCTCAGCACGGATACAGAAGGCTCGATTGGCTTTTGCCAACCTGCGTCACTTATGGCGTAGGCGAGATATCCGTTTGCTGACTAAAGGACGAGTGTACTGCGCAGTGGTTCGCTCCGTCTTACTTTATGGCTGTGAAACATGGCCAATGAGAGTAGAAGATACTCGTCGGTTATTGGTTTTCGATCATAGGTGTCTTCGAAGCATTGCTCGTATATCGTGGGACAACCGAGTGAGCAACGCTGTTATTAGGAAACGGGTACTAGGTAAGAATGGCAGATCAGTCGATGAAGTGGTGAAACTTCATCAGTTGAGGTGGTTGGGACACGTGTTACGTATGCCTAACCACCGACTGCCGAGACGAGCTATGTTTTGTGGTGTAGGAGTAGGTTGGAAGAGAGCTAGGGGCGGCCAGACCAAAACATCGCATAAATCCATGAAGTCATTGACGAGTGGACTTAGCCATGTCGGTAATTGTCGACTACCTGGTTGGGGTCCGCGAGATGATAATAATCGATGGTTAGAGACCTTGAACGACATGGCTCAAAATCGTTTGCGATGGCGCAAGTGCATCCATTCAAGGTGCTCTCTCAAATCCTAATCTACTGGATTAGCCAGCACCTCTACCTTTGTCTTTCTAACCTTATCTCACTGAGTTATACTTCTTGAATAATATCTTCAAACCCTAGTCTTCTTCATTACCATTAATACTTCTACTATCTTTATCACTATGGGATTCGATTCGACATTTGCGTCTCTGTACTAATGTGATATGGCAACATGAACTCATGTACATACGTACAAAGTTCTACGTTGCAACTGACTGACTGACAGATAGCAGTAAAAGCTGCAAGAGTAGGAAAAATGAGATAAATATACGATACAACAAATAAGCTCGTTGGAAAATATCGTAATTTAGAGCGACCAGTCAAGAGCTAGGAAGGCAAAGCGATAGCCGATATTGAAGAACAGCGAAACAGGTGGGTAGAGCACTTGGAAGAACTCTTGAATCGACCAACCTTGCTAAATCCATCACACCTCGAAACAGCACATGCGCGCCTTTCAAATGATATTAACCTACCAACAATAGAAGAAATCCATGTGGCTATCCAACAAATCAAGAGCAGCAAAGCCACAGGACCAAGAAATATTCCAGATGAGGCACTGGATGCAGACATAGCACTAACTGCCAAGACACTCCATGCCTCTGATCAGCAAGATTTAAGATAAAGAACAAGTACCAACAGATTAGAAAGAGGGACACCTGATCAAGATTCCAAAGAAAGGAAATCCCAGCACGTGTGAGCACTACAGAGGTACAACTTTTCTCTCAATACCAGGGAAATTCTTCAACACAGTGATGTTGGTCAGAATGAAGGATTAAATAGACGCCCAAATTCGAGATCAACAGGCTTGATTCCATAGGGATCTGTCGTGTACCGACCAAGTCGCAACATTACAGATAATTGTGGAACAGCCAAGTGGATGGAACTCACCTCTTTATATCAACTCCACTGACTACGAGAAGGCATTCGACAGCGTAGATAGGGTGACATCACGGTGGCTGCTTTGATACTACGGTGTATCTGAGAAGATAGTTAACATCATAAGGAATTCTTATGATGGGCCACACTGCAAGGTCGTGCATGGAGGACAGGTCACAGACTCATTCAAATTAAAGATCGATATCAGGCAAGGTTTTTTACATTCACCCATTCTCTTTCTCCTGGTGACAGACTGGATAATGAAGACATCAACATCTGGAGGGAAGCGTGGAATACGTTGGACAGCTAAGATGCAGCTGGCCGGTTCGGACTTCACAGATGACCCAACTCTCCTGTTCCACACACAGCAACGAATTCAGAAGATGGGCAGAGTGGCAGCAAACTCTGCAGCAGTAGATCTCAACATACACTAGGGGAAAAGCAAGATTCTTCAATACCTTCCAACATGCATGAACCAAATCACATCTGACGGATAGGCTCTCAGTGATGTGGAAACTTTTACAGATCTGGACAGCATCATTGATGAGCGGGGTAGATTTAATGCCAACGTAAAGACATGGATCAGCAAAGCAAGTGAAGCATTTCTACAATTGAATAACATCTAGAACTCAAAACAAATGTCTGTAAGTCAACATCAAAATCAATATTGAGTACGAACGTTAAGGCTGTTCTAATGTATGGAGCGGAAAGTTGCAGAATTACAAAAGCCATCATTCAAAAGATAAGAGTGTTTATTAACAGTTGTCTACGCAAAATATTTTGGATCCGTTTACCAGACACCATCAGCAACAACCTACTGCTGGAAAAAACAAATCAGATTCTAACTGAAGTAAAAATTACGAAAAGGCACTGGAGGTGGATAGGACACATTGAGGAAACCACCCAACTGCTGCACAAGACAAGCCCTTACTTAGTATCCTCAAGGCAAGAGGAAAAGAGTTAGGACGAAGAAATAAATTGAGCCAAAAATTTGAGAGAGACATGAAAAGAATGAATAGCAATCGGATAGAGCAAGAAATGAAGGCCTCGGACAGAGTAGGTTGGAGAATGCTGGTATGCGCCTATGCTTCATCAGAGTAAACAGGTTTAAATCAAAATGATAATTTACATGGTATCGAGAAATTCGAAGTTTACATTAAATAGTCAATCAGCAGTAACTTAGGTTTTATTGGATTAATTTGCAACGAATTGGCTAGTCTCATAGATCTAACACCACGGTGTACTTTGACTCGATATCATATCATTGATGATGATTAGTGAGAAACTCTTTACCTAGGTTTGTCATCATTGGCACGCGTAAACGGAGTAAATTTGTAATACTTAGAGGAACTGAAATAAAGTACTAAATTTTCGATGCTTAAAAGTAACAATATACTTATAGTAAAACTATACTAATCTTTAATATTCCCAAATATATACTTTTGCGTAAAAAACAACCATTCAGGTTATCTTCAAAAAAAGAATAAATTACCTTTTCAGTCAAGGCCTCTGACACTGTTACGTCCTCAACTATTTTACTGTTGGCAGACAAATTATCTTGAGATTCGAATAATTGAATATTGTTACTATTATTTATGAATAGATTTATTGATCTTTCCTTATTTTTCACTTCATACGTGTATTCTCCACCCGTCTGTTGAATGAGGTTGATCAATTTCGAGTTAGCAGGACTGTTATTTGAAAGCTCAAGGAAATCCGATGAAAGTGATGTATTTGATTGCTGTTGAAAAACTATTTTATCAGTTGAAAGTAAATGATTAACCGATGAAAGAGATGACAAAGAAGAAATAACAGTTGGTTGTAATGGTGCCATGTGTACAGCACTTGTCGGTATAATTGAATCTACTTCTAAAGATGACTTGCATTGACCAAGTACTGATATTTTCTTATTCACCCTTTTTAAAGTACGCCTATACAGTTTCAACTGAGCTCGTATTTTTGATCGGATTTGACGTGAATCGAACTGAGGAAATGTTTTTTTACATGCTTCTTCTATTTGATTTAAATGCTTTTGTGACTGTCGTGTAATTGAAAGATTAGGGTTAAGTAACTTGTGAGTTAATTTTCGAACAAAACACTATCAATAGAACAAAACAGAATTAAAATCAAGTAAAACATAAGTTAAGAGTAAGTTTGAAGGATAATAGTGATTTCACACAAAAACGTGTTCGGAATAACAGTAGAAATATTCAAAAATGTGATAAATTTCAACCATGAAAAATATAAAGATAATGAAATGACTAAAAGTAAGCATTCATTACTGACCACAAGAATATAAAAGGTATCTTAATTTGGACAGAGATAATTTCATTCAGCATGGACTAATTATATTTATTTTTTAATGTAAACATACCTGATACTAGATATCAAGTAAAAAAAGTCAACTGTTTTTATATACAAGCGGGAAAATAATTTTATGGGGAGATTTAGAGTTGAGTGGTGATGGTAGTTGGAGGTAGTCAGCTTGACCTAGGTTTCGTGAAATTTACTACCTGTCTGACAGGTATACCTGTAAACCTGAGGGAACTAGTGCTCCCTTAAGTATCCGATCCTGTGAAACCCATCTTTACAAATAAAGATGTTACCTCTGAGCTATTTAGGCTGAGACTCACCACCTGTAGGACTGAAATGTTTACAATTAAATGGTCAATGAATGTCGACCAGTGTCATTTAAGGTTTTTAAGTGTTTTAGCTATACAACATAGAATTTCTCAAAACTTCGTGGAACCTGATAACTAATTAGAGTTTCAAAAGGAAGTGAAACTGTTGTAATCGATGTTACTAAATACTTACTCGTGACACAATGAACCAATGTGTTAAAGTTGATCATGTGAGTACGTCACGTGGTCTAAACAACAAGGCTATCACTATGGACCATTAAGTAGAGTATTTAGTGAAGGTACAGCTATGGGACTAAAGTTAGTTAAGGAAACTATTTAATAAGAAAACAACTTTGATCTGATAAGTTAATACCCAAACTATAGATAGACAAAAACACATATATTCTCCTTTTAAAAAATTATTGAAGCTACAAATGTCTTTGTTTACTATGTTTGATAAGATTATATTTCAGTCACTTGCTAATTATTTTAACCCATATAATATGAAATCACTAGATATGATGAATATATTAAGAGAGTCCATTGTTGTAACAAAACAGTTTGGTGACATTCATCTCATAAAATGTTTAAATCAATAATATTAGAATGCATCAGCATAAATAAACATTCATGTTAGAGCTATTCTGAATTTACCCAGATATCTCAGATGCAACTGAAAGTACAATATGACCTTATCCAACTTTCATGAAATGTTAGTCAGTTTATCTTGTTTTATTTCTCTTAAAAAGTTATTTTAGACAGAAAATTTGAAGCACGAGAAGAAAACTGATAAGTTAATGGACTATGGAATGACAAATGAAGTCCAAGAATTAGTGAAACTGTTAAAATGAAAGTAAAGATAAGTATTCAACATTTTTAGTGACAACAACATCAAAGGTACGCAAAAATAACATAGTATCTAACAAACAGTACATATATATAGTGATACGTAAGCAGCATTTCCATTGTTTGAAAATTCCTACCTGATTGGTCTTTACCAAAGTCAATTAAAACTGACCATAAGATTTTCAAATAAAATAAACCCAAACAAATTTACCCCAAGTTCTAATTCTAAAGGTGTTGGTTTTCGCTTCACACAGTGTTTGTACTTGTTTTCATACTTTTCTGAAACTTGAGACGATCTACTGTATTTAGTCTGAAATATAGAATAAAAGTTGTCCATGGCAATCAGAAATATTTATATTTATGTGATAATAAATAAAAATAGAATTTGACTTACTGTCAGATCAAGTGGTTCTTCAGACAAATTCATATCTGTTTAATTAAAAAGTCAAACAAAAAGAAAGTAGTTATTGGCAAAGAGCACTCACTTAAATAATCGTTTAAATACTTAAAATAATTATTTCTAGTATATTTAATTACATATTCATGCGTTTGATTAAATTACCTGAAATAATCTGAGGAATCCATTGGGTTGAATTGTTTATATAGTTCATGTTTTTAAAATTCCTAACTCAGATATGTTGGAGAAAATGACGAACTGTACACATATGGTGCAAAAAGAAGTTTTCCTAATCTTGCTGAATCCTAGCCTAATTCAGTCGTGAAAGCATCTACCACAGACAGTGAGATTTTATTTCAACACTTCTTGATTCATAATGTTAAGCAATCCATCTAATATTCTGTAGAAGTGAATTTAGTCATAAATCAATAAATGATCATAGAAATTCCTCTTTAGAAGTTAGTCTTAAAATTATCAAGGTTTCTTATTCGAATGTATAAAATCGATAACAAGAAGAATATTACCAAGTTCTTAATAATTTAGTAACGACAAAACATGAATGTATAATTACTTAGATTCTAGATCACTAAGTAAAATGACAAAATAAATGAATATTTGCTTGTACAGCAAACAACTCTGTAACTGTCTCATATTTCTTTTGATTATTACTTTCTAATCAAAGATTAAAACTGAAAATTAATCAAGTTGACCTCATTTATGGACTGAATAAAATAAGACTTAGTTTAGGAAGTCTTTGGGTTGATAACAAGCATATCGATTTCCACTTAGGAATATACAACATACAGCAAGCACTGTTCACCACAATTAACGTTTTGGTAGCACTTTTTGTTTCAGATGCGTAGAATAGAATCCAAAACATTGAAAATGTCTCAGTACGTAGTGCTAGTACATTTATTTGATAAATCCCAACCGAATTATTATAAGCTGTCCTGAAATCGTAAAAACTACGTAACGATGAATGTCAATTATTCAGAAACACAGACTCAGGGCTTGTCATTGGTTATCTCTGACCAGTTAACACTTAATGTACTACTATTAATTTAGAAAAAGGAAGGCAAGATCTTTAGAATATTGTGATGCATACTATACGCGTGTTATTAGTCAAGCCATATGTATGATCCAATCACAGTTTAAAAAAATAACAGAATAGCGTAAAATATTCATTAAGAGAATACCATTGACATTTAGTTACATAAAATTTAGGTTAAAATCAAGGATATCTGTGAGTACTGAATTAATGTAGTTGGTAACTATTTAAAAACCTGGTTAGTGCACTGATGAAAAAGAATCAGAATGAAGTTCATTTTCACACTGTCTGGTCACTAATTACGGTTACTGAAAGACATAAGCATGATCTACATTAACCAATTCATAAATTAAACTAAGGTTCTATTTAATCAATGCAGCCTGATTTGTCTTTCGTACGCACTTATCAAAGTATAACCAGTTTGAAGATGAGAACAAGCCATATATAAACGGACGTTTTGGAAACAAGATGTCCATCTTTTTTTAATAAATGTACAAGCAAATGCATAGTTCATTCCGTTGTCTGGGGAAAACAACTATTTGCATAAAAAAAAATGATACATTCTTCCAGAGTACTTAAACCATGATTGCATGTAGCATCAAGATATAATTAAACTTACTGAATAGAACATATTACACAAAGAGTTGGAAGGCAATGTAAAATCATGAGTTATTTTCTCCAGTTAGAATAGTGGTAGTATTATTCATGTCGTATTAACATTATTTTTAAATCTGAACTTCAAAGGGAACTCACCAAGTTCGTTCACCAGTGTTCCCAACCAAATGACAGCAGATCTGTTAGAACATTGCATCCAAATGCAGTATAAATCAAGCGAAAAATTTAATTTCAGACCTAATTGATCTGCCCTTCGCCCTAGAGTGGAAGTCCAGCAAACCCTTATATGTGATTGGTTATTTGAAGTAAAGACATATGTGAGTGATAACTCAGCTTCGATTTTTTTAAACTTTCTACTTAATTATGGTGGGATGGTATTCATGAACAGGTGTGAGTGTTTCATCTAACTGTAGTAGTAATTTAAATATTGTCAATAATGTATTGATTTCTCGTAGGAATAAACAGATAGCTACATAGACATCTCAGTGCATCATTTAAGCTTTTTTTTAATTCAGCCGTATTCAAATACTTTTGTATGTTATAGTGGCTACTTTTTTGTCACGTTATTTACGAAGTGGAATGTTTTACTCTGAGAATTTCGATAGTATAAAGCGCCTCGACAACAAAGTACAGCAATCCTTAAGAAACTTACTCTTGGATAAAAGTGTATCGTCTTAATGTCGACAAATAAGCATTGAAATCGGTAGTAAAGTAAAGAAAATATGCAACTTCTCAGAAGTTATTACGTGGTAAATGACTAAGTTTAAAACCATTTTAGACGGTAAACGATCAGAGTGACACACTTATCAAGGTAAATTATAGCTACAGATGTATACCTTTGTCAGTCGTGGTATCGGTTTTAAATTAGCCTTACTATATAAAGTCTTCGTGCCATTATTCGTTCACTGATGGGAACTGTAAAAGTATATCTGCAGTGGGAATAATTAATTATATATATGGTCACCAGAAAAATACACAAATTAGATAACATTTAACAATACCGTTAGCTGATATTTTTTTAAGACTATCCACGTTTCCTTGATGAAAGTTACTACTTTACAAAGAATTATGATCGTTAAACTCCCATATGGTGAATATCATTTACACCTAACAGTTCATTGAAACTTTATGAACTACTGATAATTCTTTCGGTATTACAAATAAAGGAATTATTAAGGTCGTAATAGGTAAAGACCGAAAATCGACTGATATGGTGGTATTTCTTGATCGATTGAGGAGGTTAGGGCGTTTGTTAAGCATGTACGATCACCATTTACCACGACCAGCGGTGTTGCCTGGTGCAGAAGTGTTTCAAAAGAATGCTGGGAGAGACCAAATAAAACATGACATCATTTCATGAAGTTATTGACTGTTGAATTGAGTGAAAACTATTTGGGTAGGGTCCATGTGATTGTCGTAACCACTAGTTAGAGGCTTTAGGTGTCATGGCTCAAAGCTGTTCATAATAGTAGAGGTGTATTTACTTCTTATTTTCTTCTAGAACTTGGGTCTCTGAACTGCCCTATACCTTTTCTTATGATTATGAATAATACTCCTACTTCTACTACTAACTGTGCCTGTAGTCCATCTGGGGCTACGCAACTAAGACATGCTTCAGGAGAGCTGCTGTTATACTCCGGCCTCACACACACATGGAGTTGCACGTACCTGCAGGATGGGAATCTTATGGACCCAGGATCATCAAAACATTCTTCAAAACAAACAAAAAGGGCATTACAATGAACGTCATCCAATGCAGATCAACCAAAGAAAGGTGACCTCAGAAACTGTGAGAAATACGAAGGCATCACTCTTCTCTCAATACCAGGAAAAGTCTTCAACAGGGTATTGTTAAACAGAATGAAGGACTTCGTAGACGCCCAACTTCGAGATCAACAGGCCGGATTTCGTAAGGATCGATCGTGTACTGACCAAATTGCAACATTACGGATCATTGTGTAACAATCGATTGAATGGAACTCACCACTCTACATCAACTTTATTGACTTCGAGATTATATTTGATAGCGTAGACAAGACAACACTATGGAGACTTCTTCGACACTACAGTGTGCCTGAGAAGATACTCAACATCATACAGAATTCGTGTGACGGAATAAACTGTTAAATCGTGTACGGAGGACAACTGACAGACTCGTTCGAGGTGAAGACCGGTGTCAGGCATGGTTGCTTAATCTGACCCTTTCTCTTTCTCCTGGTGATCAACTGGATTGTAAAGAAAAGCACGATATACAGTGGACAGCCAGGATGCAGTTGGATGATCTGGCTATTCTATCGTACACGCAACAACAAATGCAAGAGAAGACGACCATGTCGCAGTAGCCTCAGAAGCAGTAAGTCTCAACATACATAAAAAGAAAAGCAAGATCGTCCGATACAACACATGCGCCACTATGGGATCTGAATTGACAGTTGCGTTTCTGTGCTAATGTGGTATGGCAACGTGAACTGATGTACTTACGTACGAAGTTCTACGTCCTAGCCGACTGACTGACTGACTGACACATGCGCCAACAAAATCACCGTTGATGGTGTGGCGACTTGAACTGATTCACACATGTTCAATGTTGAATATGAAGATGATATTTGATTCAATGGATATAATATTACTGAGGGAAATTTTATGTTGTTTATGTTAAAGTTACCCTAGCGACCATAATACTGAAATTTATGCTTCTTCAACATTTATAAGACTGTTTCAATTTATTTAACATTCACGAACATGGTAATCTGTTGAAAGTAATCCTTCTGTTTAAAAATCTGCAAGAGGTATGAAAAGGGCAGTAACTGGTTAATAAACGTAATGTTAAAAGTATACAATGAATCTACTGACATACGAAGACGTGACGATTGGTCCGTTTTCAGAAGTGAAGGTCTATAAAGAATTTTTAATTCACAGACAATCAACAATCATTATTTAGGATTTGAATTAAATATTTTTTAAGAATATGCTACGGTAAGACCATGAATTTATAAATCAATTTAAGTAAATAAATGACGCAACTCATCATTCTGAATTTATTTCGCCCACTAAAATCACTTAAAATTTGTCACGAATTCAGATTTTAATACGATCTCAAATAACAGCTTCAATAAACTTGCCCTAATCTATGCAGAAGTGAAATTTGGATAATACTCCTCATATTCGTGTATTATTGGTCTGAACATAGATCTATTAAATGAACAAGGCATTTCATCGAGTGAGTTATTAAAATTAAACTTCAAATTTGTGTTGCTTAGGTGCTCTGAATTTGTGCTCATTTTCAAATAACTGAAAATGACCTTATTTCAGGGTTTTATGATAGTTGCTAGAATCTGTATACATGTAAAACCCAACTGATTAAAAATTGACTTCATAATACTTGACTTGATAGGGAATAAATGAACGCTGATATTTTAATATTTCTTTGGAGTTTGTCTTGTTTCGTTTTCTAAAAACGATTAACTATTCTCAGGCGTATACAGTATGACATTAAGAAGTTTGCAAACTCATTTCTAAAGTACCAACTAGGAAACGTTTGCTCCAAAGATCTTTTTATAGTTGATAGATTTGTTAATATTATACTTTTAATATAAATATTTCTTTATGCTTCGAGAGACAAGATCTTTTGATGTATTTTGAAACTTTGTACGTTGGAAGTTTGAAAGTCGTTTCCAAATAGTTGAGGATGATACGTACTTGTTTTCAAACATCTCTTCATTAAAATATTGAAAAATTTTCTTCGGGAATTCTTTAAAGGCATACTGATTTTCTTCGCATTTAATTGGCATGCTTCTTAAGAGTTGATATGTTAACTTATGATTTTGTCCTCTGATGCATTATGATAGTCTTTTCAAATAGCATTTCAAAATAAGTGTCAAATTTGAAGATAGTTCGTCATAGAAAATTTCGTTCTGTTGTAGTGAAGACCATATTTTCTTTAAAACTTAAGCAAAATATTTAATACGACATGATGAATGAAAATGAAAGTTCGATGTAATTATACTGAAGAAATTTGGCTATCTTTCACGATTGAATAATAGGGTTATGACTTTTTTTTTGAGATACCCTTAAGTACCTGAATTCAACTAGCATTGAAAACTTTATTCAGATTATAGACTCATAAACTAATTAATTACATATTAACAGTTACGATGAACACCGAATCATTCGTACACTGTAAATAAGCAGAAGCTATCCACAACATTAGGTGTAGCTCACAATGACCTTGTCATATCGTTCGTTTCTCTTAAGAATTGAACAAAATTTATGTAATAAAGTTGAACTTTCAGAGAATCTCACGTTTTGTGATTATCATCTCTACGTTCATAGTACTACAGAAATGTGCTTCCTCTCAGATCTCACTTTCCTCATTTCATAGCAAGTCTAGTTTTTTTTCTTACCAGTGAATGACTATCACTTTTTATACGAACGCTTAAGTAAAATATTGAGTAAAAGAAATTACAAAAGCTATCATATTCAAAGTTTAGTAGTTGACATTTGTATTATTATGGGTTAGAATGAATAATTTTCTTTTTCTGCTTAGATATTAACATCTTCATTTAAAAACAGTTGACAGAATGGTTAAGCTTGTTTCTGGAAACTTGGCCAATATACTTACTTACTTACTTAATTACGCCTGTTACCCACAACGGAGCACAGGCCGCTCACCAGTTTTCTCCAACCAACTCTATCCTGGGCTTCCATCTCCACTTCTGTCCAATGTTTGTTCATTCCTCTCATATCTTTCTCTATTTCTCTGCGTAATGTATTCTTTGGCCTTCCTCTTTTCCTTTTGTCTTGAGGGTTCCATGTGAGGGCTTGTCTGGTGACGCAGTTAGGTGCTTTCCGCAATGTGTGTCCTATCCACTTCCACCGCTTCTTTCTGATTTCCTCCTCCACTGGAATCTGGTTTGTTCTCTCCCACAGTACGTTGTTGCTGATGGTGTTTAGCGTAGACAACTGTTCATAAACACTTGTATCTTCTGGATGATGGATGTGGTAGTTCTCCAGGTTTCCGCTCCATACAGTAGAACTGTCTTCACATTTGTATTTAAAATGCTGATTTTGGTTTTGGTTGAAAGTTGTTTGGAGTTCCAGATATTTTTCAACTTTAGAAATGCAGCCCTTGCTTTGCCGATCCGCGCCCTCACATCTACATAGGATCAGCCTTTGTTGTCGATGATGCTGCCCAGATATGTCAAGATGTTAACGTCCTCCAAGGCATCTCCATCAAG